ATTATTTTGAAAGGTGCATATTCTAAAAATTAGCGTCGCGCGAGGTTAGGAGAGGTGCAGAACACTCTCTCGGACGTTGTATTAGAAGACCACACGTTGCACACCTACGATCCCTGTCGTACGTAAAGTTCGTAGCTTACTTCACTTATCCTACTGTAACACCTAACGTTGTGTTGTCGTGAGTAAGATTAAGGTTGGAGATAAAAGTATTAAAGTGCAGTGTACTGAAAAAGCTTCCGCGCCATAATTTTTTGGGAAATAAGCGACAAATCTCAAATCACTTTTCTCGAAAAGCTCAAAAATCAAAGAAGCACGAAATAATGATAATAAATAAGCGACACAGAATCACAGTAGGATTTCGTACTCGTACTCGTGATATCGTCATAAATTAGACGCACGATTCCAGTGTTATGGAACCAAAACTCACGCAATGAGAAGCAGGACGGTGACCACCTTATCCGCTACATGATAAAGACACCCCTATTCTTAGATATTGAAGAGTAACAAACAAATCTCTCGACGCCATGCTAAAACGCAAGCCAGCCTCGATGCGGAGAAAATCCTTCGGAGGCCAAAACGGTGTTGGGATATATTGGCGCAAACGCGCCATTCCGACAAGCGTTGGGGCGGAGGGAACCGATGAAACAGATCAAAAGAAACTCCTACAGGACGGGACCGAGTTCCCCAAGGCAGATACCGCAGGCAATAGTTTCGCCGCAGAGACCAAGGAACATCAGGGAGAGGCCAAGCTAGCGATCTCCCTCGATGACATGGCCGACGAGGTACCAATCATTGGGTGGGACGACGATCTCTGCCGTCCGATTTATCCCTATCGGGCGCCTCCGTCGGATGAATGTGCCATGCTCAGCAATGACGACGACAACGACGAACAAAATGTCGGCGCCGAGGAAGATCTCTCGGGACGAAGCAGCAGCAATAGCACTACCGAAGATTCCTTTTTGGTCGAAGAGAACACTTACACCGATGCAGATGTGGATGCGAACGAATCTACATCAACTCATGGGGAGCCCGCCAATGGTGAAAAAAACAGCAACGCGCTCTTTCAGTTCCCCCCTCTCACTCGTAGAAGAACCAAGACCTTCGGTAGCCGGGGAAAGCGTCCGAGACCTATTTCGTTGATTCTGTCGCAGGAGGATCGCGACATGGACGCTGGAGAATCCTTCTCGTCGTCCATTGACCAGGGACCTCGCAGGGTTTCTTTAGAATCCTCCAATAGTAATTCTTCGACTGACGAAAAGGACAGTAGCAATATAGTCAATGAAAGCGAAGACTCCGAATCTGGTTCCAAGGACGGAAGAACTCGAACGTTCGGAGCCGGAAAGGCGAGCGCTGCCGCTGCGGACAAACCCGGCCAAGCACGGCGGTCAAAGAAGCAAAGAGCCGACGAATCATCGTTGAAAAAAGCCCGAGACTACTTTGAAAAACTGGACCAGACCCAGAGCCTTACTCTGGATACCGCCCAGTCACCAACCATTTCCAGCAGGGTCACCAGGACCTCTCACAAAACCAATCTCGACAGCCCCGGAATCAACCGATCGTATAGGGCCTACACAGAGGCGATTCGCGGGTGCGGCGAGTCGGGGCTTTCGCCACTCTCGATTCGGGACTATGTCTCGAGTCGCAGAATCCACTTCGAAAACAAGGGTGAGATGGTGGACGGGTTCTTGGATGATTAATTGGTTTTGGTCTGGAAACGCACGCTTTCGAAGGAGGCGAAAGTGAGTGGCCTCGTAAACGTACAGGGTGTCACTATTAAAATAGTGAAAAGCACGTTGTTGAACCTAGTTAAATGTGTTTTTTAAAGAACAAGACCTATTGTGGGATCAACGCACAAAGAGGGATTCGAAAGAATTCGGTGGAACGCTAATCTAGACGACGTCCAGTATATTAAAAATGCAACCATATAGTTATTCTCCTTCACAAAGCAAATTCTACCTAGTATTATGATTCGAAACAAGCTGTTTGAGTCTAGCAACGACCCTAAAAATCAAGCTTGTTAGAATCAGTAGTTCCGGCTGCCACTTCGGCCTCTCGAGATCTTGTGACTACCACTGGTGTTGCTGCTGTTCGACGTTAGCGGCATGCCACCTATGGATATCTTCACCTTGCCTTTTTCGGGTGTTAACGGAGACATATCGCCAAGAGCAAGCTGCAGCTTGTTCTTTGCGGATGTAGGAGTGGATTTCTTTGAGCGCAACGACCCGCTTCCTTTCCCCCCTTCGCGGCTGCTGGTACCGCTCCTCCTCGTCGAGCTTTTCCTCGTTGTAGACATCTCGGAGGGTTTTCGGTTCCCCAATCGTTTTGTTCCAATATGGATCGAATCCGAAACATTCGACAAGAGGAGATCGGCAACCGTAAGGTATTTCTCCGAGAGAATCGGTAGTATCTGGCGCAGATTATTGTTCAGGATTGTATTGAATCGAACGCTAGACAGCGAATCCCAGCAGTTATCAGGATCAGCAAGAATCCTTTGTTCGTCCGTCCAAGCCAACTCGTAGAACAAGAGTGCCTTCTTTGCGGATTTGGGGTGGCGGGAGTGGCTGTACGAAGATGCGGCCTCTAAGTGATGCGCTAGTGCTAGATTAAAGGAGAGGACTAAAAAGAGGGTAGAACCCATGGAATGACCTTCCCGAAACACACGAATGGGACGCTTGTAGATTTCCTGGACCTTGTGTTTATGCAAGACTTCGTCACAATACTCGTCCTTTATGCTCCACGAAGCATTCGTGCCACTGCCAAAGCCATTGCTCCTGTTGCCTCTGGCAACTTTCTGAATCTTTGGTTGGCTGATGCTCTTGGTCAAGTTGGCAATGTGTTCCTCGTCGAAATCACAACTGTTTCGAGCATGATCGTCTTCCTCATCGCTGCTTTCATCGTTGTCACAGCCCTGGGTACCCCTGGTAGCAACCTTTGGACCTCGAGATTGACCGATCCTTCCAAAGTCAGCAGAAAAGTCGATGCCTCCATCGAGTATACATTCATTGCAACGACAAATCTGGACTAGTCTTTCGTCGCTTTGTTTCTGAGAGTATTTTAACGCTTCCTGGAGCGATTGAATGGCTCGTTCATAGTATCCGATTTCAATACACCAAGCGGCATTGTTATTCAACTTTTGTGCATACTCCATGCTGCAATCGTTATCGTAGTCGTCGTCAACTTTATGGTATCTGGACCCTTTTTGTCGAGATTCTGAAAGAGGGGACATTGTGGGTTCGCTTTTACTTTACGCGGTGTATGATATTCAAGTAATAGTGGTGTCTGCTGCGGTTGGATAATTAGGTATTGTGAACAATAGATTGTCATTTATTTTTGAAGAAGTTTTTCGATGAGTTTGAAAACGATCTTGGAAAGATAGTACGAGTACGAGAATCGATTCTTCTCACACTGGCGTGGCATTTTTAAAGTTGATAGCAATTCGAGATAACGTTAATTGTTCCAAAATAGATATAAAGCGATCTTGAAGCATCTCGAATACAACATGAAATTTGTCTCGCCCTCGATACCGCATGCAATCGTGTTTAAAAATAGGCTATTCTTAAAAACATAAGCAACGATCCGATGCATTTTTGGAACTTCAAGCTCTCAATATGGGTAACGTACTCAAAATTTAATACCGTATCATCAAGAAGGATTATGTAATAGAGCTACTAAGTACGGGCCCCATAACGGCAAGTTATTGGCAATTTCCGTACGTCAATTTTTTCTCATTTTCCCGTCTCTATTTCCCCTCTCCCCCCATCCACACAAAAAACTATGAAGTCCGCAAATATTTTTATTCCTGGTCCTTACTAGTGGGAATATCAAATCAGTGCTTATCTCGAATATTAAGGACCACCAATAGAAATATTTTGGGACTAGCGAGAAATTAAACAATGGAAATATTTTTATTTTCGTCCATTGGATGCCTTTTTTAACTGGTTTTAACTGTAAAAATGAGCTAAAAATTTCTATTAGTATTTGTACGGGGATTGCMAATAACTTGCCATTATGGGGCCCGTACTTAGTAGCTCTATTATGTAAATGGTATTTAATCACAATCGGCTAGAACACGAAGAAAATGCACGTAAGTATTAGTGAGATTTTTCAAACAATAGGTCAGTATTGAGATTTTTTCAAACGATGATGTCACCATGAAGCTGCCACCATTTTCTTTGTGGATCCCAAAATTAAGAGACATGGTACATTGTACTAGTAGTAGTATTGCTAGTAGTAGTACTAGAAGTACTACTAGTGTAGTAACACTTCAGCCAGTTCTGTCTTTTTTGTGCACAGAATGCAGTGGTGGTGTTCAGCAGTAGTGTTGTTGCATTTTTGTATTATGATTTCCCGTTGCTTGTTTTCAGGAATCGCACTACATCCAATGAACAAGTTATTTTGGAGCCCGCCTAGTACGACAAAGCATTTTCGGTTGCTAATTCCAAAGCAGTCTGGAGAAAAATTGGAATTGCACCATTCAGAAGACATTGCTTATCAGATAGTAAAGTTGTGCATGAGTTGATAGTACTGAAAGATGGTATCATTGACTTGACGGCTGATCCTGATACTAGTATAGCGTTGGTTGAGAATGAACAGAAGAATGCGAAAGTGGTAAAGAAGTTGTTGAATGATGCTGGTTTTAATGGAAATTTCTTCCAAAAGTTTGCACCATTTGAAAAAATAGCTGTTGGAGACAGTCACTCTACTGAATTCCAGAGCTTGCCAGGATGTTTTGGGCTCAGCAAAATATTCCAGTCAACAGTTCTCTGCTTAATACCAAGGATTATTTTATTGCTGAAGAAAGGAAGCAAAGGCAAGTACACATAAAAGACCTGGAGTCATGGAAGAAAAAAGCCAAAGTAGTATCTGAGTTTAATGCAGAGGTTACTAGGTTAATTGAAGAGTGTGCCTCCAAGGGGGAAAATGTTCACAATGATGAAGATGCCAACAAGAAGTCCCTACCAGTTTCTACACTCAAGTTATTTTGCAAGTGGAAGTAACAAAAGAAGATTCCTGCAAAGAAACAAGAAATGCTTGATCTTTGGTTGGAAGTGAAGGGTATGGATTTCCCTCCAGAATTTACTTGGAGTGAGGATGATGAGACCCAACTGCAAAGACTGAAAGAAGAAGATGAGATTACAATTAGTAGGGATAGTACTACTCTAGGAAAGGAAAGAGCAAGGCTCCAAATACATTGCAAGCTTGGCTGAAGAAGAGAGAGCTGCATGCAATATGCTTGTTAATGTGCTGGAAGGAGTGAAGGGAATGGTTCTTGGTGGTGAACAAGTTCTTCTGCTTGCTCCTGGTGGTCGGTGGTGGTGTGGTTGGTGAAGTTGCTGAAGTTTAGTGTCCAGTAGTTAGTGTCTGAAGGCACAGTAATAAGTGATGTATTGACTGTTTTACTATTGCAGAGAAATCTGTTCTTTGGAATGGATTTATATTTGGTAGTGTTTCTATATATTCAATTCAGCAGATCTGAATTCTCATAACAAGTGAGTAAAAAAGTGAGCGAAAATTAGCTTGGAAGCTCGGAACCTCCGACAGAAATAGTTTTTTTAAAAAAAGCAAGACAGGTTGAACTCGGGAAGGCAACAGAATGACTAGTATATAGACCCCTGAGCGGTTTCGGCCCACGATTTTTCTACTGGAGAGCAAAATTCTGGCTGGTTTTTGTTGATGGTCCCCACACAAACACTCACAAAATTGTTAGGGTCACCATTTTTACAGTTAAAAAAATGTTTCAAATTATTTAATTTATTGCTGGTCCCTAAATATTTCGATTAGTGGTCCTTACTACTGGAGAGGTAAATTCATGGGTTACTACTTGAGAATTACTATTAGGGCTTACTACTGGAAAACCTCTTCTCGCAGCACAAACAAAAAGAACCCCTAACACGGCAGTTCGCAGTGCTCATTACTATAACATCCCCAGTAGTAAGTAGTAATATAGGTTTTCCAGTAGTAAGCCCTAATAGTAATTCTCAAGTAGTAACCGATGAATTTACCTCTCCAGTAGTAAGGACCACTAATAGAAATATTAAAGGACTGTGTAGTTTTTGTGTGTGGAGGGGGGGGAGAGGGGAAATGGAGATAGGAGAATTAAAAAAAAATCGAATTATTGTCGAACGAAACGTCTGCGGGGTCTATTTAGTCGTTCTGCCTATTGTTCCCTATTTGTACCGACTCCTCTCGACCTCACTTGCCTTCCAACCTTGCACCTCGTAAAGTACTTCTACTCGTATCAGCCAGCTGCTCTGGTTGCTGTCATGAAACTTGGTCAATTTTTCTCTTTCGAATTCGGAAGCCGGAGGGAAGTTCCGGTAGGTAGAAACACCCTGCCATACTGAATTTGAAACGTGCGGCCAACAGAAGAATATCTAGTTGACGCACAGACCATTTGCCACGTTACAATTTTTTTTTGCGAGTTTTTCGCCTGTAATTTTGTGGTAGGCTCTGTTTCATTGGATCGTGTTTGCCACATCACCATGATGATGCGTTAGACTTCGCAATAATATTTAGGAAAGCGAAAAGAACCTCCTCTCAACAGACATTTTCATAAAAAAAAAAGAATCACGAGACACTTTGACTCTTAAGTTTCGTACGATTACGTACAGTACTTACTGGGCGCACCTACCAAGTGGTCTGCCTTCTATCGTTTAATCGCATCGTGCAGCATCCCCCCTTCTCATCCCATAAATCGATTTACTTCGATCGAATTATCTCAGCTATCTCGTACCTCTAACTCGAAAGCCACACTCTAGACATGGCGAAGGTAGAACCTGCCAATACAACGGGCGAAGCAGCTCTAGCCCGAAAGCACAGAATCGCGATGAGAAAGCAGCGAGCGGTCTCCTCCTGCTCTCTCTCCGATGAAGATTCTCTGTGCGAGAGGGCTAGAAGCAAGCGCCAGCGTGTGGCTCTCGACGCAGAGGTCGAGCCCATGGTCATTTCTTCGGCTACTGATTCTGATTCTGTGAAGAAGACAACTCCAAATGACATACTGGAGTCGATCAAGAAAAAGAAGCCACACATTACTGGTATCAAAAAGCAGTCTCGCTACGACCCAGGTGTGGAAATGACCAAGGAAGAACTCAAGGCATGGAGGAAGGAAGCGCGACGTGTGCGCAATCGAGAGAGTGCTGCTGCATCGCGCAAGAAAAATCGCGAAGCCATTGAACAGCTGGAAAGCCAAGTCAAAGGAATGCAGTCGAAGTATGATACGGCCCTGGGTTATATCATTCATCTCCAAGAGCAACTGAGACAAATCGGCATGTCTCCGTTGTCTTGCCCCTCCTCAGTTTTGCTTCAAGACCTGGAAGATCTCAACAAAGATTCCTCCGAATGTTTACCTAGACAAACTGTTTCGCCTCCTCAATCGCCAACTCCCATCGAACAATCCTCCGTTGAAGTCGATCCTCTCCATCTGACTCCGCAAGCAGAACACCGTCAACAAGATAGACAAAGGCACCTCGTACTCCGAAATGACCCTGACAAGAACTTTTTGTCCCAGCCTTCCTCGAGACATAGTCCAAGCCATCCCGCCATTCCGAACTCTCAAAAGCACATAATTGATAATATGATCATTCGACCTATTGCTTGCGTCTAGATCAATCAAACCCCTCATAATACATTCTGCAGCAAGTGCAGCTGTCCACTCAGCTGCAGCATTATGCTATTATATTAATAACTTCCAGCAGCGAAGATCTCTCCTGGTGCGAATGAGAAGACTGTGAATGATTGCGGTGGCATCGACCATGAATTGAGCAAGGCCTGGGCACACACGGTTCGCGACACCGTCGTTTCCGATGACGACGCAGCCAATGCCTTCAAGACTGTGACAAACGGCGATTCTCCTTCTCGCCATCTGGCAGTCAGTCAGACGACGACGATGGAAACAGACCATTCTTCATTCTCAGGAAGCGATGATGACACGGTTATTGAATCGGAACAACCCATGTTCCTGGACGGGCTTCCTCCCGTAACGGTCAATGATGGCTGCATCGATGAAATCGATGAAGCAATCCTCGGTTGCGATGTAGGCACCGAACACGATGACGTGATGGCTGTATTTCTGCAGGACACATTTGAGCCAAACGCGTCGAGATCCCAAGTTGAGCCCTCTCTGGAAAGTGTGGTGGACTCGAACGACATCGACGCGCTGCTCATTGCCGAAAATGAAGCCCTGATGCTGTTCCCCGATAGATCATAAGTGAAGCGAAACCCAAACCACGCAAGCACAATCTTTCGGCATGCAGTGGAGGTATTCACTTTCGATAATATTGACGCCTTAGGGGCAGTAGACGTCTGAACTTCCTCTGAACGTCGAATCCTATGGTGTCTCTGGGCAGAATACGATCTGGCGAGCGAGAACTTTCTCGATATTCTTTATTTTTTAGATTCAACAAAAAAGTCTAGTAACGAAAACCAAGTTTCTACATGAGTACAAGTACCGTACACAGTTGTGTCAACTTTTTGAAATCAAATGCGTATCGTTCAGTAAATCGTTGGAAATGATGTAGGTCAAATAACAGTAGTGATTACTATATGCATTGCGTTGAGCGTAATGGTTTGTTTTGGTTTTGTCCTATGGGTCGATTGATGATTAACATTACTTCAACAGAAGGAAGAAGCGGCACCTAAACTTCTACATGGGATTCGTTCGCCGTCTCCACGTCTTCTTGTTTGACCGCTAGACCTCCCTTGGATTCTTCCCCCTTGGTTTCCTCCGATTTTGCAGCAGCCGCAAAGGCAATGGCAGCCTCCGCCCCCGTGTCTGTCCCCAGTTTTGCCTGTGTTGCGGCAACCGCTGCCTGTACCGCTGCGTCAGTGAGAGTGGCGTCGACGTTGGTCGCCGCGGCCGCAGCTGTTGCGGTCGGCACGATGTGGAGGGTGGGACTGGTGAATCCGGGGGGAACTTTTCCCTCCTTCTCTTCGTCGGACTTTTCTCGGAGGGCTTGGGAGGTTTTCTCCGCTGCCTTCTTGTCCCCGATGTCGAACCACTTGCCTGTGGTGGCGTCCTTTTTCAGGAAGCGTCCCGGGGGATCCCCGTTCCGAATGGCGCGAACGATCACCCGTGCGACGGATGGCTTCTGGATCTTCGGTGCACGGACGTAATCGGGACGGTGCAACGCAACAATGTCTCGGAAGCGCTTGTTCCCCTTGTGGTGATTGGTCAAACCACCTCTTCCGCAAAGAATGTCTAGTAGGTGAACGGTTTTCCCAAAGAAGAAGAAAATACAAAGCAAACCGCCGGCAAAGCCGTCGTGAGAGAAGTTCTGGTAGACAGAGGTGGATGCTATTGCATCCCGCTGTGGTTTCCCTCCTTTTTTTGCAAACGTACCGTGGTCTGTCACAATGATGTTCCCGTCCCTGTCGACGGCATTCGGGGGAAGAGACTCCGTGGATGCCTCGTCCTCGGTCCCGTTGATTCCCTTTTGCTTCCGCTTCGCACCAGCGCTCTTTTTCGCGGAAAGAGTGATCGGCACGATGTTTCCGTTGAGGGCTCCTCCCATGCCCATGGCTATCGCAGCGGCGTCTAGCTTGAGCTTTTTGCCGCCGGGGGTCCCGTCGGCGCTCTCCCCTCCCAGGGAATCCCGCTGGCCGATTCGGAGGGATTCCCGCATGGCCGAGCGCTGCCGTTTTTCGGCGTTCGATCGTTCCCGCAGGCCCTGGCTCGTTTTCTCGGCGGCGATCTTGTCGCCCACGTCCCGCCACATGTTGTCGGTGCCCTTTCGAAGGAACCGACCGGGCGGATTGCCCTGGCGGATGGCCCGCACAATTTTTCGGGCAACGTTGGGTTTGTCCATTTTGGTGGCACGGACGTAGTCGGGCCGGTGCAGGGCGATGATGTCGCGGAATCGCCGGTTGCCCGCGTGCCCGTTGGTCATGCCCCTGCAAGGTGGTTCGGAAGGGTTCGTGGGTTGCGTTACACCGAAAAAAAAAAACAAGGGAACACAAAAGAAGGACGGAAAAAGCACTGGCGTGAGAGGATGGAAAGAAACCCGCTGCTTGGACAACAAGAGAAAACGAAAAAGCGCACATCGGCCAGCAGCAACTCGTGTTTCCGGTGTTGCACTCACCCTCTACCGAACAAAACATCGTGTGTCGTGGGATGCGGGATCGGTACGTCCGATGGCTTGTTGGCATCGGACGGCGACAACAAGTCTTTCATGGCCGCCTGTGTCGATACGGGCGTGACGGGCGTTCCGGCATGGACGTTGTTCCCGAGGGAGGTTTCGTCGTAGATTCGTTTCTCGAGGTACACCTCGAAGACAAAAATGGCGGCAAACTCGGCGAGGTCGTTGCGGTCCATGTTTTCCCATTGGTTTTGTCCCTTGTCTCCCGTGTTTCGCAGAATGACAAAGCGCTGGTCCTTGGTCACCAGCTCGCTCCCGCTGGTGACCTGTATCTTGGCGGTGATGAGGGCAAAGGCGGCCTTGACCCGGGAGAGGGATCGTTTCGTGTCCACCGAAACGTGCTGGGAGGCCAGGTAGAGGAGGTTTTTGTTTCCGCTGGAGTGCTCGTAGTTCATGTTTTCTTCCCACGGGGTCTGGACCGGCAGGAAGATGACGTCGTAGGGACGGGGATCCGCGGGGGCTTCGTCTCCGGGCTTGCCGTCCCCGAGGTTGGCAAATAGGGTGTCCACGGACCTGCATATGGCGGCGGGTTCCCTCTTGCCCGTGGCGTCGCGCAGGTCCTCGCTGGCACCGACCGGGGGTTCCGGCTCCGCGTTGTCCCTTGCGGCTAGCTCGGCAAAGGATTTTAGGATGAGCCCCGAGACGTAGGCCCTGGCTCCGTTTTCGTCGAGGCGCTTGAACCTCTGGGCGTTGTCGGTTTCCATCCCGGTGGACGGCGGGGGAACCTTTTCGAAAAAGCGGCCGTCGAGCTTGAAGAAGGGGGTGGGGACGTCCTTGAGACCCGACAGCTCGTATCGCCTGCCGTGCGTGAAGAGTTCGGTCAGGCGGGCCGCCAGTTGCTCGACGTCCTTTGCTTCCGTGGGAGGGACAACCTTGGTCGGAGGCGTTGCCGGAGGTTCTGGTTTCGTTTCTGCGGTGGCTTTGGCGGAAGCGTCCACTCCGTTCTCGGAAGGGGCTTCGGCTTTGACCACTTCGCCCGGGGCTTCGGAGGAAGCGGGGGCACCGGCGGCGTCTTCCTTCGCCGCCGCGGTGGTCTGGGGCTGCCGCTCCTTTTTCCACAAGAAGTAGTGGAGGTGCACCAGGTCCTTGAGCAGCATGGTTCCCCGGTAGCCTTCCTCTCCGACAACGGCATCACGGTCGTTCGGGACGTTCGGGTCCCGTTCGGGCTCGGGAAGGGGGACCGCCGTGATGATCTTGGTCGGAACCGGGGTGGGCGCGCTGCTGGTGGGGGTCGCAACGGCCGACGCGTGGGGGGTGGCCATGCCGGCAGCGGCGGCGGTTGCGGCCGCTGCCACGGCGGCAGCTATGGGATCGGAAGGTGGGGCCGGCGTCGTTGCCGGTGTTTGCGGAGCGAGTCCGGGAACGGGAACGGGAACCGGCGTGGGCGTTGGCGTTTGTGGCGGGTGCACCGGGGTGGCTGCCTGTGTTGCTGCTGCTGCTGCTGCCTGTGGCACTGCTGCCTGTGCTGCTGTTGCCGCTGCTGCTGCCTGTGCCACCGGTAGTGGGGGAGGCGCCGTCGCAACCGGGGTCACCGCCGGAGGCGCACCCGCCGCATTGGCTGCCGGCAACGGGGCTGCCGAACCCCCGCTAGGAGGCGCGGTGGAAGCCGAAGCCGAAGCTTCAGCCGCAGCCATCTCCGCATAGGCAGGAGCGGGAGCGGGGGCGGCCGGGGCCATTGGCGGCGGCGGTCCTTCTCCGTTTTCGGCCATGCTGTGCTTGTCTCGTATCGAATATTCGAATCTAGTCGAGTCGATTCGTATTGGATTCGTATTGGATTGTATCCTGTCCTACCAAGTCGTATCGTGTCGTATTGTGTCGTATCGAACCTGTCGAGTCGTGAGGGTTGGGGAGAATGGATTGGTTGGAGCAGTCTGGGTTCGCGTGGACCGTACAAGTAGTCCTTTGGATCCTCGCCTGGTGCGTGCCGTGCCGTGCCGTGCCGTGCAATGGAACAACGATTGGCTGTAGGGGTTGTGGGTCCGGTTGTTCCAGGGGAGCGGATTGGGAATTGCATGAAGATACGGTGCACGGAAAGCGACAAGGCCCATGCCGGAAAGGCGGCAAACGGGTGCAACGCATCGAAATGACATGGAATGCAATTTCATTCGATTCAATACAATACAATACAGTACAATACAATACAGTGATGAGATCGGCTCGGGCACGTGAGAAACAAATCAACAACGAAGAGCATAGTAGCACGGCATCGCCAGTCGCAAGTCGCAAACAAATTCGATCGTCCGGTACGGTACGGTACAGAACGGTGTGATTCGCAATCGTTGGGTTCGCATCCAACAAACATTTGGCTTACATAATATCGTTGGTCCTTCTTGGATGTGCCGTGCCGTGGACTACGGGTGCGGGAATCCTTCTTGCAAATAGTATCCAATTGGTGTCTCAATCCGGAAATCCGAGATCTGAGTCGTCTCAAGTCTCGGTGAAATACGGGTAATCAGTCAAGGGGCGATTGAGATGACAATAGGGAATGAGAAATACGAGTCAATCCATAGTTATTGATGATTGAATTGTGTTTCCTTTCGTTGACGTGAAAGACCCGTGAAAGAACAACGCAAATTTAATCACAAGATGAATCACAAGAATGCTTCGTTCTGTTTCACGAGGACGGAACGAATCGATCCGATTTGATCTGATCTGATCTGATCTGATTTGCTCGAAGCGACGATGATGCAGATTGCAGATGCGTTGGAGCCGAAGAACACTTTGGTTGGTGTCCATGAGGCAGAGCCAGCAAAGCCTGCGAAGGTCGAAAATTCCGCCTGCCTGCCGTGTACGAGTGGCTTACGTACCCTAGTACTAGGCATCCTGCTATGTCCGTGCGATACTCGTACCCTACCGTATGGGCATACAAAATTTTACGTATTCCCTGTACGTACTGTACGGTATGTAGCAGGGTATTCTCGGAGGCATTGCATTGCGCACAAGCCCTCCATTTGCCACCGAGGGAGGTTTTGCGCCGTAGATTTACGTCGTGGAAACAATACACCTCTGGAGCGTGGAAAGTGGAAATACTCTCGAGTATGCGACGCTTTGGAGCGAGCGGGTCAAGCCGCGCCCAAATATTTTTTTGGCCATCGGGACGAAGGTGCCTCTACGTAGTACCCTGCCCTTTTGGACCCTAACCCTAAATAGTAGAAGTAATCCAGTGTTCGGACAAGACCCCGATATTACTTCTATTCAATTTTCATCCCGTCCATATTAGAATTGTACTTACAATAGGTAAGTACTCAAACTACCTTGCCACACCCGCTCTCTGTCGCCCCCTAAAAAGCACTCGACGGACGCGTACCTCCCCCAAAGTTTAAAAATTCAATTCTAGACGTTGGTTTTGTAAAGAATACTTCCACGTCAAACTTGACATCAAACTTGGTGCAAGTCGTCAAAAAGCGTCACATTTTCTGTCTTGTGGATTTTGGAACGATTGAAGATGATCGATCTCGTTGAGCCGTAGTACCGTACCGTGGTATCTCAACGTACGAAAAACTGTGCGCACTGGTCCTTACATAAAACGGCACTAACACGAGTCATACGACTCGTACGAGCTCACAATGGAAATCCAACTCACTCTGTAACGTTCTCATCACTACGAAGCCTGGAAGTTTTTTTCTCTACCGTACACGTTGAAGAGGATTGAATGGGGTATGACAGGAAATCATTCTCGGGACCTAACACCGGAACTTTGTTGTGCCTACGAGTACGAGTTACGAGTTCCTACTGATATTTAGCTGTAGTGCTTGTACTGGCATCGCATTCGCACCCGGAATACCGAGCAACAACTTTTTCTGTCCAAAAACTCCGCCTCGAGGCAACGACGGTCTGGTTCAAGGAAAGACGACTGCAACGCACCATAGCACATAGAAAAGAATCTCGGAAGCACACTGCAACGGACATACGTACCGATGAATCGTTACGTACGATACGAAGCTTACAAGAAAAGAATGAAGGAGCATAC